CAGCACGGCAAGTGGATAACTGTCCGGGACAAGCCAGAGCCCCCGAGCCGCAAGGCTCAAAGAGAGGATAATCCCGGGCAATCATCTAGGCAGTCTGCTTTCCCCGCCCCGAGCCGCAGGGCCCAAAGACTGTACTGGCAAGACCCCTATGCCCCAAGCGGGGTTACTGCCGGTGGTCACCATGCCACAATCTGTTAAACCAACTTCCTGCCATCTAAAGTGACCGCCTATTTAAACTCAGCCCCACCCAAGCCAATTTTTCCAACCTCAGCTGCAGTATAAGGTAGGCGAAAACACCCCCTCCCTTGGCCAATCTGGGAAGGGGCGAAAAATTCCTACCTGGCCCCCATAAAGGGTGACCAGCCAAAGCCTATACCGCCAGCAGGGTGGGAGGGTGGGCCGAGCATTTGGGCGCAAACTGAAGGAGGAAGCGGGGGCCGGCCCCGCCCCCTGTTCAGCCCCGGATGCGGCGTTTGCCGCGTCTCCCTGTCTTCCTCCTGCAGGGGGGCAAAGGCGGCCCCCGGGCCACACGGTCGCAGGAATGGCAGCCCAGGAACCGAGTTGTGATCATGGGAATGCAATGATGTGCAATCACTCAGGTGGAGGGCATCTGTGAAGATTGTGGAACCTATTCAGTTTATATTGTAAAGGGACTTCATGTCAATTATGATAAAACGGAGATTATGGCCTCCAACTAGCAGACACAAGGACACAAGTGGATGATGGATGGGAACCTTTTAGACTTCTTTTAAATTCTAGAGTTAGTGTTTTATCAATCAGGTTCTAGGTCAGCACGTATTGAACATACCAAAAACAAGCTAGAAAGAGTGGTGACTATATTTAGATTTTAAAGAGCAAGGGGAGGTTTGTTGGTCCCCCCCCTGTTGAAAAATTTTAAATCTAAAGTACTCCCCCAATTGGTATATGGTGCCCCAGTTTGGGGGTTTGGGGATTTGGGGATTTATACCCACTAGAATTCATACAGAGGTCCCGGTTACACAGGCCGTAAAATGTGGGGGGAAAGCGTGGCAGTTTGGCCCGGAGCAAAATAACGCGCGGCCGCCTTTAGCGGCTTTGAGAAATACCCAAAGAGTTTTAATCTCTTTAAAGCCAGGCACTTAATTAAACAAAGACCACTAGGTATGAATTAGTGAGAATCCTGAGATCAGCTTCTTTATACAAGCAACTTCTTTCTGTCCCTTTAACTGTTCCAGCTTACTTTGATGATCTGCTCTTTACTGAGCATAGGAAGGCATTGACTCAATCTCGCATAGACATTTTACAACTGCCGGTAGTGAAGGGCTGCTTTCATAGCACTCAGTTTGATGAACGGGTTTGTCCTTGTCACCATATATCTGTTGAAGTTCTGGCCCATGTGACCTTTTGGTGCACAAAGTTTACAAAGGAGTGGGAAAGATAATTTGGAAATATTTTATTCCGATTGTCAGGGAGATCAGGCAAATTCTCCATATTTGCCACCTTCCACGTTACTGTTTAATGTACCGTATTTTTTGCTCCATAAGACGCACCTGACCATAAGACGCACCTAGTTTTTAGAGGAGGAATTGTGCCCCCTGCAGCCAGCATTCATAGTACCTCAGACAAGCCCAGCCGTTGAATGGAGACTAATGCGCATGCACACTGCTGTCCCCGCTGTCTACTAAGAAACGCCGCCTACTACAAACTCTTCTCCAATCAGCGCGGTGATAACACAGCCAGCAACAGCACTCACTCCTCGCTTGCAGCCTTCCCTCCTCCTCTGTACGATCTCCTCCTACTTGGCCGGGACCCGCTTCACCACGCTGCCACCATGGAATTGTAAGTTTCCTGCCTGGACCCGCTCTCTTTCCATGAAGTCCCTGCTTTCTGATCTGGCTGCAGGCTTCCCCACGATCTTTCTGATCTGGCTGCAGGCTCCATAAGATGCACCCTCCTGCACACAGACACACTCAGCCGCCTCCCCCGAGGGCCGCGCTGTGGAGGAGGAGGGAGCCGGGAGCTTTCCACCCCCCGCACACGTGCACACAAACACACACACTGCAGGCACAGCACAGAAGCCAAATTCTTTTCCTGGCCTTGCCTCCCAGACTGGCTGCCTCCAGAGGGACTTCAGTTCCCTTCAGTCACCATGGCCGGTCGGGCACTGCTGGGCCTCTCTGCCTGCCTCTTAACGCCACCTGTGTTCCACCATAGCAACTGGCATTAAATTTCACCATTTCATTACTGCTGAGGGAAGACTATTTTCTTTTGTCCATCCTGTATCTTTTGCCCACAAGCCTTCTGATTAGCTGGTGGAAGGCTCTTCCAGATTTGTTAACAAAATATATATAGAAGGATAGGAATAAATGGATAAATATGTCAATGGCTGGCAAAGAAATGGGGTTTGTCTAAGGCAGTTTGGAATATGCTTTGTCAATGTTTTGAATTGGTGTAAAAAAACCGCCCAAACTAGCCTGATCTGATCAGATCTCAGAAGCTAAGCAGGGTCAGCCCAGGCTAGTAAATAGATTGGAGTCGTCCAGGGAATATCAGGGTTGTGATGCAGAGGTAGGCAGTGGCAAACCACCTCTGGATGTCTCTTGCCTTGAAGACCCTTTGGAGTTGTCATAAGTCAGCTGTGACTTGAAAGCACTTTTCACCTCCCATGTAGGGTTCTCCCCCGTCCCACACCCCCAGTGGGCCCTTCCCACCACCAATGCTCCCTCTAAGCTGTGGAGTCCTGTGAGCAAAAATTCTATTTTGTGAGCTACCAGCGTTAAAGCTGTGAGCAGGTGATCTGGCTGCTGCATAAATTAGTTTGCTCTGGTACCATCCTCCCTGAGCGAAGACAAAAATGTGTGAGCCAGAGGCTAAAAAACTGTGAGCTAGCTCACACTAACTCAGCTTAGAGGGAACACTGCCCACCACCACTCAGCTGTCTGGCAGGAGAAAGAATGTGCCAAAACGGGGCGAGGAATATCAGCATCACCTAGAAATGATGTACGCCTAGTAGAGATATCAGCCGTCGTTGGCTGGCATTTGCTCTCCATTTCACATTGTTGGCTGGTAGCTCTCTATTAGTGGGTGCATTTCAGCATTTCATATCTATCTGGCTGAAAGCCTTCTTAGAAATAGGCTGACAATGCTCCATACTTCTCACTCTGGAAAGCTACGAATAGCTAGCAATCCAAAACAGTCCAGTGGATCCTGAGCAGTGGGTGTTGCCTTCTGACACACTTCCAGTGACGTCAGGGGGTGTGGCATATGCAAATAAGTTATGCTAATAAGTTATGCTAATGAGCTCTTGCATCTCTTTTTCTACAAAATGACCCCTGCATCCAAGTTCAGCTAGCTGATTTAGAATGGTATCTCGGTCCTGGGCTTTTCCACATGGGCTTTTTTCATGGGTTTTGGCCCCATAATGCTTTAGTTTACCCTCTGATTTCTGCATGGATTGTTTTTGCTTTTAGTTTTCAATTTGGGTTTTTGTTTTTCCCCAGTCCTTTCAAGAGCACTTTTACCCCTATCTTATTTCTGGAAGCTGATTTCCAGTCGCCTGTTTCCTTGTGCGTAATATTTCTCTCAGTGTTCTTTGTCCCTCCTATTGCTACCCACTTCCAGATGTTTTTCGCTGGCTGCTTCTCCCCCCCTCGAAGACAAGTCCCTTTTTTTTAAAGGGCACTAGAATATGACCGTATTGATATGCCATTATAATGATAGATCAAGCAGGTTTTCTGAATTCCCAGCTTCCAATCTTTTAAGAAAGCATGTTGCTAGCCACATAACTGATTCCACAACTGGGAAAATGCAGAGGAAGGGCAGATGTGTGGAAGAACCCTGCCCAAACCCATTTCTCTAAACATGATTGGGATCTTGGGGAAAGGAAAAACAGATGCAACCTTAGAAGAGAATTATTATTTATTATTTATTTCAGCTTGTAGTCCATCCTCCCCGTGGAATTCAACCCACCCCTTCTGTAACATTACACCAGATGGTGAAAAACATGAAGTATAGCTCACTGGTGCTTCCTCATTCAGGTAACATTCAACAGCAGTCTCAGGCCCCCCCCCCCCCCCCGTTCTTACCTCTGTGCATAACTGGAATCCAGATATCCTAGAATAATGGAAACCAACCAATGGAAAGGACTTACTCTGAATTTCAGGGTACTTCATCATCAGCAACAGGCCCCAACGCAAAGTAGTCGAAGTGGTCTCCATGCCAGCGCCAAATAAGTCTACCACCACAGCTTTTAGGTTTTCATTATGAAAAAATCCGTTGCTCTGGTTCCTGTTCTTTTCCTGGGAGATAAAAAGAAAGAAAGCATTCCTTTCCTTTTCTTTGTCCAATTAAAGCTTTATGGCTCAATGCCTTGAGCAGTATAACATTCTGAAATTTTATTTGCAATCTCTATTTATTTCTCAAAAGAGAAGAGGAAGATTTTTTTTTTTGTAACATCCTAAATTGTATTAGGATTTTGATCTGAAATGGGACCACCCTGCTTGGAACAGAATAGTGGAAACCCACCGACCACAGTAAAATGAAACATGTTTAAATAGACAGGAAGTTCAAATAAAATATGAGAAATTGTATCTATTCGACCAAGCAAGTAGGAGCAAATCCTGTTAGAGGAGGAAAGATGCAAAAAGCTGCCTCTCATATACATTGTTGAATGTGCATTCATTCTAGTGAGAGTAAAGGCTTTGAGAAGACCAGGACTAATGATAGAACTATTATGATTAATCTGCCTAATCCATTTTTAAATTACATTTACTGATTCAACAAGCCCCAATCGATAGGTTCTCTGGTAAAAGCCAGCGAGCGAATCTGAGAGTGCGCTCGATGATGTACACAAGATCCGAGCTGCAAGGCTTAAGCGGACCCCAGTGAAGATTGCACCTCGGCGAGCCTGCGCCGGATGTGGCGGGAATCACGATCGGGATCATTGCTGGACCAAAGACATTGTGTGTCGAGCATGTGACAAGCGAGGCCATTTGGCCAGGGTCTGCAGAGCGAAGAAGAGGTCACCGCCATCGTCTCCAAAGTCTGCAAGCCCTAGGGTTCGAGGGGAGTACAACGCAAGGTCTGCCGACTGCCACCTAAGTCCACCAATCAGGGAAGTGGAAAGTATGGAGGGAAGCCTAATGATTGGTCTTTATCCTGTAAATACTATTGGCTGTCATTTGACATATGGGCGTGGTTATCTAAGCCCAGACAGATTAAAAAGGAGCCTGTTGCTCCAGTCTTTTGTCTTCGTTCTTCATCTCTAATAAAGCTGAATCACTGTTCATTCAAAGCTGCGTTGAGTCTCGTACTTAACAAGTATGAAATAGGATTCTGTGCTTTTTATTTGTGCATGGAAAATTTGTGATTTTTTTTTTTTTTGCCAAGAATGTAATTCTTTTTTGGGAAACCCTATAGGTATGGTTCGAAATAAAAAGGGTAGTGAGGGAAAATAAACATTTTTATTAGATTTATTCTATCCACCCAGGAAAGGTGCAATTTGTTCCATTTTCTGAATCCTCAACTTCATGGTTTTTTGTAAAAAAGTTAGTGAAGCCTTTTTTGTTGCAGAGACATAAGGGGAAAGACAACTGGGGAACTGAAGAAAGCAGAGTAATATATATATGTATCGTGGAAGTCCCAGCTAGTTTGAAGGGCTCCTCCCCCTTCCCCCAAGCGGGATTCCTTGCCAGCTGGCCTGGCATTCACGTGCAAAGCGCCTTTAAATCAATGGTTGAGGAAAAATTCACCTGTGATTATCGGCATGTTTACCTCTTGCTGTTGGATTAGGAAAGCATCGATAAAGCTCCTCTGGTCGTTCACGTCGAGTTCTTTGAGGTGTTCTAGGAAGGTGGCCTGTATGAAGTCGAGCACTTCATCCCTGTTCTTAAGGACAGTCTTGCGCCCACCAGAAAGAAAGCCCAGAGCAGGAAACATGTTGTACAGCTAAAAGAATACAATATGAGAAAGGAAAAGATCAAGAAATCCCCCCAATCCTACTGCTGAGGCAGGAATTTCATAGGTGTTTTGAAAATCTCCCATCGTGCCGTACCACCCAAACCCTGTCACTGGTTTCCAAGTAGGGTTGCCAAGTCCTACCTGCTGCCGACCTGGGGGACTCCTGGGTCGTTCCTTGAGTGCGTGCGCACCCCACAACCACATCACCCGGAAGTGACGCGATGACACCGGGCACGCTGGGGGCGGGGCCACGACCAACCGAGGGAAAACCATAGAGTTTCCCCTCGGGTGACCGTGGCCCCGCCCCCAGCGTGCCTGGCGTGGTCGCGTCACTTTTGGGTGACGTGCACGTCACGTACTTTGGGGCGGGGTTCCCCCCCGGGGCCCGATCTGCTGGCGGCGGGGAACGGGCCTCTGGGGCAGGGGTTTCCCCGCCCCCCGGGGGGACTTGGCAAGCCTATTTCCAAGGATTGCAGTGATGAGGGTTACCAGGCTGTGCAAACAGCGGCAGATTAGAAACGGGGACATGGGGTTTTTTTTGTTGCTGGCATTGCACATGCTATGGAATCGTTTCCAGGCAAAATCACACAATATCACCCTGTGTGCGACATTGACATCTTTTTAAACCTTTCTCTCACCACTGTTTCAAGAAGCAGCAAGCGACAAGTGTTGCCTGGGGCCCTGGACACACCTAAAGTGGTTCAGTTCTGAAAGGACTGCTCCATATATTTTCCTAAACATTTCAAAAAAGTTGCAAACCTCTCAGAACACGTTTTGTCTCTGCTATGAAGTCCTGAGTTTGTGCCGGGGATCTTTAAAGGCATGAACATGTACATAGCCCTGCCTGTACTGTTTGTACTGGTATTTCAACCATTTTTAGATCAGATTTTAGATAGTTTACCAGGACTGAGGGACTTCCCATGAGCCGTATGTTTTCATCGAACAAGTTCAGTAATCTTATAAATGTGGGGTCTTCGTATTCGTATCGCTTGCCGAGTATTATGGACACTATAATATTGGCAGCAGCTGCATTCATGATTGTAGTCGTCTCAAATGGTTTTCCTATAGAACAAATATTACAATGAAAACATTACGCTATGGAATTGACATCAGCATCACTTGTTGCTCATGTATTGGCTGGCATATGCTTGGCTAGCATTTATCATTCATTCCGTGCTGAAACAGAATACTCTGCCGTGTGCAAAGGGGGAATTCTAGACTGGACCACATCAAAGTATGGCTCTGGTATTTTTGGTGCCTCCCAAATGCAAAGATAAAAAGCCAACTCACTATTGTGTACTGCCTCTTTAAGAGGCTATCCCAGTAGGCCTCCGAGCAATCAGGAGAGTAGGAGGGACTCAATGCTTCTCTTCTCAGTCTCCCTGCTACCAGTCTGCAGGAATGGAGGGCCTACTAAGAACCTGCAGAACTAGGCCGGGACTACCCCTTGCCTAGAGCTCTAGAAACAGCTTAGTTGAGTATTGTTATTCCTTATTCCAATAGCCAAGTTACATGTTTGAGGCTTTCCCACATAGCATTGACCTGTAGTCCTCAAGCTAGGAATCCAAATAGCAGGTATCAGGTCTTTTCCAAGACCATGATGGAACTTGACGAGGGTGAATTGGAAAGGTTTCAGAGAAGATCTGGATAGGTGTCTTGGATGGGTCCCTCCAAAACATAATAACTACCACTGATTTGTCAGAGCTGCTTTATCTATGGCCAAAAGGTACATTCCTTGAGGATACTGGAAAGAATATATTCCAGGCTGGAATGATCAGAGCGAGAGGCTGTATCAAAATTTCCTTGACAGCAAAGACCCAGAAGTAGCAGATGAAGTACTGCATTATTTCGACCCTGTAGGTAGACAAAAGTGGACCTAAGCAATTGTGAATCCGAATATCAGGCACTCCAGTAGGAAAGCCTGGAGCCTGTTGAAAGAGCTAGGTGCAAGCCCACCTGTGCTCCGAGGAAATTCGGAGGTAACATCAAACCAGGTAGCTGCCTGACTGGTAGCTCTGAAGGATAGAGATTTTACAATCAGGATTTAAAACGTACTCCAGATTTTGAGACACACCTGCCCTGGAGACTGTGAGCTGTCAGGGGATTTCAGTGCTGATGAGATTTCAGAGGCACTGAACAAAGATTGGAAAGGCACCAGGCTTTGATTGCATGAGTTCCTGATCAACAGCAGCGCATTCAAGTAGCTTGCAAAGTTTCTCACTGGTATAACGAGAACAGGAAGACTCCCAGGAGAATTCAAGAAAGCAAAGAGAGTTGCTATTCTGAAACCTGGGAAATCAAAACATCTGGGGGAAATGTTATAGACCTATTTCCCTTCTGAGCTCCTGTTATAAACTCCTCAAGCGGCTAATTCTGAAAAGAATCAGTGACAGAATTAACGAACATGTCCCTACAGAGCAAGAAGGATTTCGTAGTTGTGAAGACCAGGTTCTCAGCTCAACAACTTTCATTGAGGCAGGGTATCAGAAGTGTCTTAAGACATCAGCCGTTTTTTGTCAATCTGACTGCTCCTTGTGACAGTCTGGAGGGATGGTCTGCTGTACAAGTTTTCTCCTGCAGAACATTATTTTGACTCCTAATTCACAGGCTGAGTGATACAACATTACAAGTAATTATGGGTCAGTCAATCAACAAGCAGAAGAAACTGGATAATGGTCTACTCCAGGGCTCGGGCCTCACTCCAGTTCTTTTCAATCTATGCATCTCTGATATCCTCGAAATGATATCTAGGAAGTTTGCTTATGCCAATGACACAGCAATTGCAGTAAGGCACAAATCAATTAAAAGAACTGAAGAAATACTGACTAAGGACCTCGAAATATTGGCTGACTACTACCACAAATGGCGGTTTATCCCAAGTCCAGGAAAAACAGAATGCTTCTGTTTCCATCTCAATAACCATCTTGCCAGCCATGAACTGAAGGTCTGCCATAATGGCACACAGCTTACACACAACCATACAGCTAAGTACCTTGGCATTACCCTGGACAGGACCTTGAGATACTGACACCATCTTACCAACCTAGCAGAAAATATTCATGTGAAACAACATTTCCAAAATGTATGTGGTACAACTTGGGTTGCATCTGGTACAACACCTAGACTCTCAGTTTTGGGGTTGGTGTATTGTACTGTGGAATATGATACTTCAGTGTATTTCAGCAGCCCCAGATCCACAATCTTGATGTCCAACTCAATACAACAGTGAAAACCATCAGCAGATGTATGAAACCCAGTCCGACCTGATGGCTATCCATGTTGTGTCACATCACTCTCTCACATCTCTGAAGCCAAGATGCTCTTCTTCATGAATTAAAAAAACCACTGAAAGCAGAGAGTTGCCTATCCACAAAGACATGGCTGACACGGGACTATTCAGATGAAGAGCCTGACACTTAGGAATAAGATCTGCACAGATCCTACAAACAGAAAATTTTGATCTAGGGAATGAATTATTGTGAACATGGGTGCAATCAGTTTCACCCAAAATCCATAATCTGATCATCACCAATGAGATTGACGTCGCACATTATTTCCTACGTAAAGTATGGAAGATGGCTAAAAGAATGTGAACAGGCTTTGGCAGTTCTGCAGACCCATTGTTTAAATGAGGCAAAACACCAGGACCGGAATGAGATTGCGGTGCAGCCCACCAAACCGTTTTCCATCTGTCACAGGAATGTGAGCTTTATGCATTCCAGGGTGATGTGAGGGAGCTCTTGGAACTCTCTCCAGCTGCGATTGAGTGGATTGAAAATATAGATATTAGTACTTAGGGGGATTGCCCAATCGGTCTGCATACTCACTGTATGAACTTGGTTACGTATTTTATACTCCTAACTCTTCAATGGAACAAGTAAGGAAATCAACCCACCAACATCAGGCTCAGAATGAACTGGACAAAGCCATCCTGACCCTGCCAATAAGGATCACCCTCCTTCATCACAACGAAGTGGTACTCTTATAGGGCTGCCAAGTGGGGGTGGGGGCGGGTAAACCCCCGCTTTGGAGGCCCGATTTCCACCGCCGCAGAATCGGGCCCTGGGGGGAACTCCGCCCCTCGAAGTGCAGCGTGGCTGCGTCACCAGAGGTGACGCAACCACATCGATCACGTTGTGGGCGTGGCCCCGATCGTCGGAGGGAAAACTCTATGAAAAGCTCCTGAAATGTTTGGCTGCCGGGCCAAACTGCCAGTCTGAACTCGGCCTCTCTCTGTGTATGTAAATTGTTGTTCAGCCACAGCTATCTTATGGCAACCTCATGGGTTTTTCAAGGCAAGGGACAAACAGAGGTGTTTTACAATTGCCTGCCTCTGCGTGGCAACCCTGGACTTCCTTGGTGGTCTCTCATCCAAGTACTAACCAGGACCGACCCTGCTTAGCTTCTGAGATCTCACGAGATCAGGCTAGCCTGTGCAACTGACCTTGAACTGTAAGGGCACTGTATTGGGGAAATTAGGGGTGCAGGAACTTTTCTATACACTCCCATCCCAACTGTGTTCATATGGGGAGGGAGAGGAACTGACTTCCCAATTGTACCGAGAGAGAGAGATGTTCTAAACCAGGGGTGACCAAACTTGCTTAACATGAGAGCCACATAGAATAAACGTCAAATGTTTGACAGTCTCAAGATGAGAATAAATATCACACACACTTTTTTGAAAAATATGCAAATTAACATTACATGAAACTGCCAACAATTAAAACAAAAAGGGTAAAAACAGATCTTGATAATACTTCAGCCTGGTTGGAGAAGCTAAAACAACTCACCTACTAATGGGGACTAATATTGGGAATGGGGGGGGGCATGAGAGAGTTTCAACACTGAGCACATGTAGGACGGAAATACAGGAAAGAAAGCCCTGACCTGAGTTAGCAATGTATGGCTTGCAAGGTCTAAGTTCCAGCTATTATAGGGTTAATCTGTTGTTTACCTTTCTGTGCTATTGTTTAGACTGACCTGGAAGGGAAACTTGGCTCAGATCCAATGGGAAGATAGCCCAGGGAAAAATCTAAGTCTGTTTACTAAATCATTGGTTACTGTGTTCAGGTGATTTCCTTCTAGGGGTCAAGAAGAAGGAGGATTACTCCATTGTTGTGTGACCATGTTTTCCTAGCAGCAGCATGTAACAATGTAGCTCTACATAGCTCTTTTGTTTGTAGGTTTCCTGTGTACCCTTTACCCTTAGAAATAAAGCTTTTCAAACAGAAAGAAATGTTTCCTCTCCAGTGAAGCAAACATCCATCTAAAATCTGAGACCGATTTCACACAAGAGCTGTGCCGCGGTCGCGCCTCCCTTTGCCCCACTTCTATTGGTCAATTTCCCACTCAAAGCCACGCGGCCGCGTTTTGACCCACGGCTTCGCCCAATTTTCCCCGTCTACCTGTCCTACAGTTACTGTTAATATAGAGGCCGTCAGCCAAATGGAAATGGTATTGTTTTCTCCACTACACAAAACTCACCTTCAAAAGATTCAAACTTCTGTATTAGGAAACGGCACTCCTCGACAATTCTGTCTTCTATGGTCTTCTTGCCCATTCCGTAGTCCCTTAATGTGGTTAGTGCAAACCGCCTCATCACTTTCCAGTTCTCACCATTAGAAACAACAATACCTGGAGAGAAATACTATACATAATATTATATTGATATGCAGAGCAGCAAGTGGTCCCTCAGTGTTTGGCTCTTGGACTATAGAAGACCCATCAGCCTGGTTGGAGAAGCTAAAACATTCACCTACTAATGGGGACTAATACTGGGAACAGGGAGCAGGATAAGTTCCTTGTTTCATTGAAAATATTTTCAACATGTAGCAAAAGAAATACAAGAAATAAATAAAATGTTTACTCGGTCCCACTGTTTGTCCCAAAGAACAAAGACAGCTCCTATCCACATAACCAGGCATGTTTCTAGGTCACCCTACTAGGGCTGACAAGAAGATCTTTCAGAATTAGACAAAGAAGGAGAGCTGGTTCTATACTCTATCCTTCACTACCTGAAGGAGTCTCTGAGCAGCTTCCATGCTCCCTCTCCCCACAAGAAACACCTTGTGAAAGAGGTGGGGCTGAGAGAGTTCTGAGAGAGCTTTGACTGACCCAGGGTCACTCAGCTGGCTGCATGCGGAGGAGTGGGGTATCAAACTTGGTTCTCAAGATTAGAGCCCTGCTGCTCTTAACCACTTGACAACACTAACCTAGCTCTGAGATAGGGTGAAGCTACAACTGCTTATGAGACAGGTCGCAGCTTCACCCCATCTACTCTGTTCTTGCTCTCTGTGCAATCACCCTCTATGCATGGCCAGGTATAGAGCACTCTTCCACCATGACAGCCCCTCTTCCCATGACGTGGACTTCAATATGTCTACCCCTTCCTTTTCTCTCTCCCTGCAGCCAGCTGCCCTATTCCTTACTGAGAGATGGGGGATTGTACTCTCTGGCCGAGTTCACACTGGCAATTTGAAGCGCTAGGGAGTCGTGGCAAAGAAGACCCGGAACAGACCGGGAAACAGCTTGTTCACAGTATTCCCGTTCACACTGCAAAAGAGAGAGAGAGAGAAAACAAAGAAATCAAATAGATGGGGTGGGAGGGGGAGGAAGGAAGGGAGAGAGAAAGAGAGAATGAGAAAGACAGAAACAAAGCAACCAGATGGGGAGGCAGGAAGGAAATAATAAAAGTGGTGGAAAGGAGGGAGAGAGAGAAACAAAAAAATGAAAGCAAATAGATGGGTGAGGGAAAGGGAGGAAGGAAAAAAGAGACAGAGAAAGAAAGAAAACAAAAAGATGAGAGAGGGGGAGGGAGAGAGAGAAAGGAAGAAAGGGAGGGAGAAAGAAAGAGATAGAAAGGCAAAAAGAAAGAAAGAGGTGGAGAAAAAGCAAATAGATGGGGAGGGAAAG